TGATATATGATGGAATTAATGTAAAGCTAAAGTTCTCCCATGTAAACTATCATATAATTCACAATAAAACATTAAAAAAAAAAAAAAAGGAGCCAAGTGGGAATAGACTTAAGCAGATATCCTTGGTGAAGATGGTTTTCTTGTCTGTCAGAAGGTTAGGCAAAAAGTCTCTAAAACCACCTCCTATTGCTATCTGTTCCTTGTATCACAGTTTTTTTCTATTCTCTGGGACATCCTCAGATGTTCTAATCCCAACAGCAAGCCGATTTTGGGCTGGCAGAGCCAAATGAAGGTGGGGCTTATCTGGTTGTTCAACATCATTAGGAAAGAAGTAAAGGGAAATAGGTGGCAGAAAGGTGCGGTGCACCGAGGCCAAAGATCCGAAATCCGAGCCGCCCTGCCCTTCTGGACTGCCTGGGACAGGGGAGGCAACTCCACCTTTGCGGGGCGGTGTGGAGTCCGCGTCCGCCTCCAAGTTAGGGTGGCGCTCCATCTACTTCTGGGTTTCCTGGTCGAACTTTCCAGGTAGGCCAGAGGTGGCTTTTCCCAAGGGAGTCTCTGTTGGGGGTGTCCGATCAGATTGACAGGCTCCCGCAGATCCGGAAGGTGCAGTATCGCCAGAGGAGGCGGGTTCCAGGTTTGCTAGGCTTCCTGAGACTCCGGGGCTGGGGCCTGGGCTACCCGCTCGGGGACTCCCGGTGGCGCCGGCAAGCGTGCGACACGTGCGGTCTGGAGTGAGGTTCCCAGCCTTCCTGGGGTACTGCAGTGAGAGAAGGGGATGACATCTGGGGACCTCGCTGCTGCCACCACCCTACCTCCAATTTCCCCAACAGTCACTCCCCTCTGAGCCCTCCTCAATCGCCGAGGAAGTTCCTGGCCCTGGACACTGGCGGTGGGGGCGCTGAAAGTAGAGGGGAACAGGAGAAAAAGGATTCTTTGGGAATGCGTCCGGAGAAGTGAGGGGCCAAAGATTGAGGGATCTGCAGGAAGAAGGGAAAGCCTAAATTGGAATCTTTGAGATTCTACGGGGCAGAAACGGACTCTGTATTCCTAAAGATGCGCTCCTGCCCTCACTGTTTCCCTTCCCCTTCCAGCGTCTTCTCTGTTCCTTGTAGCCCAGGATGGAGATGCCATGCTTGCTGCTTTGCTGTGTGTTCCTCACCCTCCCAGTGTTTGTCAGAGCAGGTGAGTCCCCTCACCCATTTGCTTCCTAACCCTCACTGCCCAGGCCCCTGAGTTGACCTTGCGGGGGAGGAGAGACCCAGAGCTAATTAAACTTTTCTCACATGGCCAGACAGAATTCTAAGGAATGAGAAATGGGAAACAGCGTGTCTCTTTTCCAAGTGTTCCTATATGAGCTTTGAAATGACGTCGGTGATAGGGAATAGGCAAGTTTTCAAGTCAAGATTTGTGTTAAATGCTAAAATGATTATGTACTGCCTATTGTAAGTACTGGACTCTGTGTGGTGCAAACCAAAAACTTGGAGGCTGGATACCACGCAGAGGTGCCTAAGAGGAACAAGGCCTGGCGTTCTACTTTGGAAAAATCAGACACCTAAAAGCCCTGTGGACTCCTGATGTGGCGCTGTAGGGTTAGCTGGGCTGCTAACCGCGAGGTCGGCAGTTCAAACCCACCAGCCGCTCCTTGGAAACCCTATACCGGGTCTCTGTGAGTTGGAACTTAACACCACCACCAAAACCCCTACGGAGCACACTGCTATTCTGACAGGCAAGGGGTAATCATTAGTGGGAATAAATGTAACAGTAATGGAGAGATGACTATTTTATTTGATAAAGGATTATTTCATGACCACTGGTAAAAGGAAAAACCTTAAACAAAACAAATTTTTTCCAGCAAATTAAGCAATTTAGTAAAAATTAAGTTTACAGTATACTGAATTTTTGTTTAAAATCCATTTTGGGATGAGGCCGTTGTACCTGTTATTCCAGAGTGAAATAACTGGGTTTCAAAGAAATGGAGGGCTCAGAACAGAAAAGGGATGCTCAATGGGAGGAAGATGAAATATTTAGGGTCACATATGGAAGGGAAAGAACAAAATCATTTCAAATGCCTCGCTAAGAGGAAACTGAAGAAATTCTGTGTGTGGACAGAATTTCAAAACCTTGTTCTTTATAGGAAAGTCCTAGAGGAAGAATATTCCCAAATAAAATTCCACTTTGCTTACAAAATCAGAGGCATTGCTTAAAGCTAATAATAAGCAAATAACACAAGAGTTTTCTTTCATTGTTAATTATGCTTCTCTTTCCTTTCTTTCCATAGACGAATGTAAGGATGTCAGCGTGAAAAATGAGGCTATTTCAGTAGACCAACCTTTTGCTTTTAATTGTGTGCCTCCTCCAGAAACATCTGGGGAAGTAAATATAACATGGTATAAAGATTCTAACAAAATCCCAATAACTAAAAACATACAGTCTAGAATTCACCAGTATCAAAGCTGGATTTTGTTTCTCCCCCTGACAGAGGAAGATGCAGGAATCTATCAATGTGTTATAAAGTAAGTGTCTCTGTTAAAATAGATCTCTTTCTATCCCTCTCTCTTTCTCTATAATTGCCAATATATATTGAGAGTATTCCGTTAGGAAAATATTTCTTTTGCATGTCTAAGAATTTTTATTGTGGTAAATATATATTTAATCACTTGCCATTGGACTATTGTTCACATGTACAATTCAATGACAATAGTTGTGTTTATCGTACTGTGCAACCATTATCATTATTGATTTCCAGAGTTTCCCATCACCCTTAACAAAAGCTCAGTGTCCCTGTCCAATGAGTCCCTCTTTCTTCTCCCTCCTGCTTGCCCCTGGGAACCACTAATGAACTTTGGTCTCCGTACACTTGGTTGCAGTATGTAGCTTGAAATGTATCTTTTCCCATTGAAATGGTGTTGTAGGTCAGATTATTTTAGATAATCCATCCTTATGGAATGCATACATTTTATGAAACCTGGAAGCTCAGATAGGAATAAGCCTTATTTAAACACCTAAGGAGCTCTGGTAGCGTAGTGGTTACGAATCAGGCTTGAACCTGTGACCTTGTGGTTCAAAATCCAGTGCTTATCCTGAGCTCTGGTAGTGTAGTGGTTACAAATCGGGCTGCGAACCTTAAGATCAGCGGTTCGAAACTACCAGCCGCTCCGCGGGAGAAAGATGAGGCTTTCTACTCCCGTAAAGATTTACACCCTCGGAAACCCTGTACAGGGTCGCTATGGGTCGGAACCGACTCGACGGCACTTAACAACAACAACAACAATCCTGCAGAACCATCATGCTCCCTTCCTACTTCTCAGCTAGAAGTCATTAACTAGAGTTGGAGATTGTAAATTCATCAGACACAGATCAGGATTTAAAATATTTATATCTGGGAGTTGTGAAATGGCAAAAAAATGATCTTTCATAGAAACAAAACTATATTGTTGGGTGTATGATTTTTTTATCAAAGATTTTAAGTGAACTGTGTGTTTTTGCTTTTTATTTTGAAATAATTTCAAATTACCATGATATTTGAAAGAATATGAAGAACCTTCCTCTATACTTATTATAGGTTCACCGTCATTTAATATTTTACAGCATTTACCTATCACTTATATATATATATACATATATACATTCACATACATATGTATCATAAATTTCAAACATTTGAGTTATATACATCACCATATCCTTTTACCCTTTTGTATTTCAATGTGTATTTTCTATTTACAAAATTATTGCTTTACATAATCACAGTATAACTATCCAGGTCAGAAAAATACAATATTTTTACCTCATTTACAGTCCATACAGGAGCTCTGGTAGCATAGTGATTACAAATTGGGCTGCGAACCACAAGGTCAGCAGTTCGAAACTACCAGCTGCTCCACGGGAGAAAGATGAGGCTTTCTGCTCCTGTAAAGATTTACA